GTCTTAATAAAAAATTTCTATTTGAAGCAAATTTAAGATCTTGGCGTCAATACTTTCATTAATTATATAAGTTAGAAACATTATTGACGCCAAGATCTTAAAATTGCTACAAATAGAAATTTTTTATTAAGACGCATAATTGGATTTAATTAGCTGATTATGTTAATAATTAAATTAAATTCTACATTTGTTACAACTAAATACAAAAACTTTCGTTACAAATTTTACTTGGTACTTTTATTTCACTAATTATTTCGACATTTTCAAAATTTTTATTTGGCGGAAATTTTTGCATCAATTCAATTATTTTTATAAATATTAAAATTATTAGCAATAATTAAATTACTTTCAATTCACTTTTAATAAAATTCTTCTTCATAAAATTCAATTGGCTTCAAAATTTTCAATGGAAATGATGAAAGAAACTCTATCAGTAAAAAAAATCAAAAAAATTCTTCAAAAGAATTTAATTAGGATTTTAAAAATTTTAATAAAATTCTTTTAGAGAATTTAGTTATTTTCCTAAATAATAAAATTCTTTAAAGGAAATTTTTTGATAAAATTCGATGACTTTAAATACATTATTTTTAAAATTGAAAATATTTGAAAAGAAAAATTATGAACAAGTTCAGAAACAAAAAGCAAACAACATCTAACATCAAACTGCGAACCTCGCTGCGAACAGATTACAGGAACTTGTACTTTATTATTAAGTATTAAATAATTAATTAATGTTTTAATTATTTTTATTTTATAATTAATTCAAACTTGTGATGACAAATAGAAATCATCAGAATTTTTTTCATTTCCTTTTATTATAAGACTAAAATTTTGTTAAATATTATGTTTTGTCAAATTGAAATTATGCGGATTTTCGTTCTTTACTTCTAAACAAAATTAGAAAATTTTTTAATATTAAGAAATAGAAAATTCATTTATGTAGCATTATTTTTTTATGAGTCACAATTTTTTTAACAAAATTATTTTTTTATTTTAGAAAAAGAAGAAAACTATTTGCACAATTTCTATTTTTAATCTTATTTTTGAAACAGGATTTTCCACAGGAATTGTAAGATATTAAAAAATTTCAAATTCTAACCTTTAAGGGTTTCGTACCCGGTAGGAACCCTATTAAAAAACAATTGCACTTTTCGCATAATTCATTTAAAATAGTATGAAAAAAGAATTGAAATTCTGTAATGAGTTTTGTCATTTATGAAGAATTTTGTTAACATTTTCAAAAATAATTTAATTTTCATGAAAAATTTACTTATTTATATAAAAATAATTAAATTCTTTACAAGAATTTTGATTAAAATCTTTGAAATAATTGTCTGTAAAGAATTTTATTATTTTTAGAAATAATTGAATTTTTACGATACATTTTAATATTTTGTATATTAATTGAATGTTTGAGAGGAATTTTTTAACATTTTTTTTAATTATGAAATTGTTTTGTGAAATTTGAGTAAAATTGTAATTCAAATTTGAATTCTTTTTGGGAAATGTTATCGAAATAGTATAGATATTGAAAATCATTGAAATTAGAAAATTTTTTAAAATTATTAAAATTAGGACAATAATTTTTTTGACGTTTATGAAAATAAATGTATTTTGGAGAAGAATTTTGTTATTTCTAAATATAATAATTTTTTTTAATTAACAGAAGACACATCGAGGAGTACGCGATTAGCGAAACCTAAAAAATTGTTGTACTACAAAACCATAGATCGTTACTATGAGTCAGAGCACCGGTGGCACAGATCAGGCAGGCCAAAGAAGCATAAGGGAAAAAAGCCGTATAGGTAAAATATTTTTTTCATTTATTATTCAAAGTATGAAATTAAAATACGTTCATCATAATGATTAAATTTCTATAATTGCAGCTACATGAGGTGCGCACACCAGAGGAAAACTAAATGCATTGGCAGAGGAATAGTGTACGACAATGAGAAAATAATATATGTGACGAAACTTCACATACCAACGTGTAGTTTCAATCCGGACGCAGCAAAACAGAGGACAGCATTGTAAGAAAAAGCCATAAATAACCTGGAAAATCCTCTCAAAGTTTTTCAAACTGTGAGAAATGAGTAAGTGTTTTTGTTTTAATTGTGTTAAACAATTTAAAAAAATTCTCGTCAAAGTTTCAATAATCTTTATGAATTTTTTTCAGAAATTTAAATATTTTCAAAAATTTTAATAACATTCTTGGCAAAATTTCAATTACTTTCAAAAATTAATTTCTCTTTGGATAATTTCAATTATTTTTAATACAATTTTAATCAAATTTCCGAAAAATAAAGAAAAACAAAATTCAATTACTTAAAAATTTGTTTGAAAAAATTCTTTATGAAAATTACATTTTAAAAAACATTCAATTAATTAATAAAATATTTATTTGCATTTTATTTGTATTTAAATAATTGAATTCTCGTGGATTTCTCTAGTAAATATTGATTTAAAAATGAATTTCAGTTAAAACCTTAGATTATTATTGAATATTGAAAGCAATATAGCGTTAATTTTTAGAAATAATTGAATTTTGAACGGGTTTTTAAATTAAAATCTTAGAAAATTCCACATTTTCATACTTTTAATTAACAATTCTGTAGAATTCATTTTTTGAAGAAAAGGTTAATTGAATTTTTCTTTAATTCTTACAGTTTTTATTTTCTACTATATATTTCATTAAAGAATATCAGAATAATCGACATGCCGTAAAAATTAATATTGAAAATATTAGAATATTTACGAAGAATTCTATCATTTTTGAAAATAATTAAATTCTTGACAAGATTTTTAAGAAAATTTAAAATTAATTTTTCTCAAAAAGTTTGATGGAATTTTTTTGGTAATTATTTGAAGTTTTTAATTTATAATTTATTTCATTGAAGAATGTTAAAATAATCAAAATTTTAGGTAAAATTGAATTGTACACAAATTGATTTAAAAATTCTCAAAGAAGAACTTTTTAAAAAATTGATTTAGAGAAGAATTTTAGTTTAAAATTTCAGAAATGTAGAATTGAATTGAAATGAAAATAATTTTGAAGAAATTACAGTAATAATATTTTTATAATATAAAATAATGATCACTCCGAGTGGTAAACTCGGAGGTTTCTTCATGTTTTATAATATATTCTTACATGTTTTTTTATATTTTTTTATTGTATTTTTATAATATAAAATAATGATCACTCCGAGTGGTAAACTCGGAGGTTTCTTCATGTTTTATAATATATTCTTACATGTTATTGAAATTTCAAATTTTTGAAAACCTTAATTTCTATTAAAAAATAATAATGATGAAATATTTATTTAAAAATGAAGTTATTAAGGTTTTTGAATAATTTTCCTTTTAAAAACCTTGGAAAATTTTGTTCTTTAACCTGTAAAAGTCAGGGAATTTGAAAAGAGCAAAAGCGTGGCAACCTTAGAATATGATCTCTACTAGTATCTAGAAAAATGTACCCCATCAGGTTTTGAAAATGAGTTATGTCGTGAAGCACTTTGTTCGTAACAAATTGCTAAACTTTGTCTTTCTGCCTTTCATAAAACTTGGATAGTTTCAATTTTGGAGAAGCATGAATATCTTCATGTTTTATAATAATATTTTTATATGTTATTGAATTTTTAATTTTTGAAAATCTTAATTTTTGTACAAAAATAATAATGATTAAATATTCATTTAAAAACGAAGTTATTGATGTTTTCGAGTAATTTTACAATTAAAGAAATGTTATAGAACAGGAAAAAAGTCGTTTCGTCTGGAAATCAGGGAGTTTGGTAAAATTAAAAATAAAATTAAAAATAAAATTTAGTAAAATATAATTGTTGTTTTAAAAGCTGGAAAAGTCAGGGATTTTGAGATGAGGAAAAGCACCAACCCTGAGTGTAATAAGTGAAATTTCACATATTCAGACTTAGTGAGTATGTTAAGCATTAAATTAAATTTTATATTTGCTACAATTCAAGTAGTAGAGCTACACGGGTTCTGGCCCAGTTACCGACCGTCGGTAAGGTAGATTTCCTAATAGCTCACTTTCAGGTGGGTTAGAAGGGGTGTTCTACTTTACCGACCGAGTTTTTAGTACCGGCCGCCACCGCTAGATGGCGCCACCACTCAATTTAAACCCCCTTAGAGGGGTATTAAAATTTTTATTTTTGAATTTTCAAGTGGGTTAGAAGGGATGTTCTGTTTTACCGACATCTGTGTTCTGGCTGCCACCGAGAGATGGCGCCACATGTGAATTCCAACCACTTGGCGGGAAATTTAAATTTTTTATTTTTAAACTTTCAAGTGGGTTACAAGGGATGTTCTACTTTACCAACATCTGAGTTCCGGCTGCCACCGAGAGATGGCGCCACTGCATAATTCAAACCCCTTGGTGGGAAATTTAATTTTTTTTTTATTTTTAAACTTTCAAGTGGGTTAGCATAAGTGCTCTACTTTTACCGACTGAGTTTTAGCTTCTGCTGCCACCGCTAGATGGCGTCAATTTTTACACAATTTAAACCCCCTTGGTGAGATATTTAAATTTTTATTTAATAATTTCAAGTCTTTTGGTGTGGAATGATTTCAAATTTCACACCACAAAGTGATTTCAAATCCTTGGCGGGATATTTAAATTTTTGTTTAATAATTTCAAGTTTATTAGTGTGGAATCATTTCAAATTTCACACCACAATTACCAACAATAATTTTACAATAGATGTTAAAATTGTATAGAATTATTATTGACTGAGTTTAAGTTTTAAATGTTCAATATTTATAATTTTTGTATATGTATATTCATAGATTTTCAATGATCTAACTCATATGGATTCACCCTTATTTTTATGATACATACAATTACCGAATTTTCATTATATTACGGAGCATGAAAATTAGAAGTCCACAAGAGCCAATCAGAAAAATATAGGAAATAAGGAAATGAATCGTATTGGTTGACATAATTAAATATTTCTAATTTGGTGGAAAAACTAAAGTTGGTAGTAATGATGCCATGTGCTCACAATACTTTTATTCTTTTTCACAAACCTGTTGAACTGGAAGGACGTTTTCCAACTTCCAAGAAAATGGTAAGTTCAATAAATTTTTGAATAGTGTTAAAATCATAATTCATTTATAAATTAAAAAAAAATATTACTTTAGTAATTATTTACGTTACATTTCACTAACATGCTTGTCTGTATTTATTTAGAGTTTTCATCCGAATGGGAGGTACTGTGGGCAATGCTGCTTCTGTCGCTTTTTCCATTTCATAAACCAATTTGTAAGTATTTTTCTAAAAAAATTGTCAAAAACATTTAATTGATGTTAATTATTTTATATTAATAAAATAAATTTTTTTATTTAATAATGTAATTATATTAAAAACTTAACCTAACCTCACTTCACCTAATGGAGCTGAAACTGGCATCCAGTTATTAGTAATATTAATTAATTTAATTTGCAAATTAAATTTAACTGATTTAATATTAATTATTTTAGGTTCCACCATCTCCAGAACAAATATGGCAACGACAGTTGCAACAAATGCAGGCTCCACAGTTTCAGGCTCAACACATGCAGGCTCAACATATGCTATCAATGCAGGCTCAACAGTTGCAATTGCGACCACTTCAGCAAATACAACCGCGACCAGTGTTGCAAGCACAACCACGAAAACCACGTCAACCACGTCAACCAAAACCCAAGTTGCCAGCAGAAGTCGTTCAAGCAAATAAGGTATAAATATATATATATATATATATATATATATATATATATATATATATATATATATATATATGAAATTATATTTGAATTAAAAATGTTTATTTTCAAATAATAATAATTATTATCAAAATTGTATCAATATTTATGTCAATAATCTAATTTTGGATTTTTTTTTAAAACAATTTTGTGAGGTGTTTGATGTATTTTTTATTTCAACAATTTACAATTCTTTAATTTTAGCTTCTTTTACTTCTTTTGAAATTATAATCGAAATTGTATCAATATTTATGTCAATAATCTAATTTTGGATTTTTTAAAAACAATTTTGTGAGGTGTTTGGTGTATTTTTTATTTCAACAATTCACAATTCTTTAATTTTAGCTTCTTTTACTTCTTTTGAAATTATAATCAAAATTGTATCAATATTTAGGTCAATAATCTAATTTTGGATTTTTTAAAACAATTTTGTGAGGTGTTTGGTGTATTTCTTATTTCAACAATTTACAATTCTTGAATTTTAGCTTCTTTTACTTCTTTTGAAATTATTATCAAAATTGTTTTAATATTTAGGTCAATAATCTAATTTTAAAATTATTAACGAATTTTGTTAGTTGTGTGTAGTTATTTTTATTTAAACAATTTCTAATTCTTCAATTTTAGCTTCTTTTACTTCTTTGAAATTATTTTATTTGTCTAATCTTTGAAATAATTATAATAAAATTTTCAACAAATTTTTAATTATTGTTTTACATTCTGCAGGAAAACGAAAATAGCAGTCTGAAGCATAAAACTAGGTGGGAGCCTGTTGAGAAATACACCCCGAAAATAGTAAATAAAATTGATGACTATATACCAACTCCAAAGGAGGTTCTTCTAAGCATGCAATCTCAACAGTCACCACAGCTGCCTTCTGCGCAGTTAGCTGAAAGCATCAGTACAAATCAACTAGTCAAGTCTCCACCACCTCCTCCACCATCACCGGCATCTAGTTCTTCTTCAAATTCGTCTAGTTCGAGTTCTTCCAGTTCGAGTTCAAGTTCCTCAGCTAAGAGTTCATCTTCTAAAAAGAAAAAGTCAACATTGGTTCCTGAAAATTTAAACTTACCATCAATAGATTCTTCTTCAGGACCAAATCCTTCAACATCTATTGCTAATCCTTCAGCGCGAAACCTTTCAGCGTTGAACATTTCAACGCTAAACCCTTCAGCGCCAAACCTTTCAGCATTGAACATTTCAACGCCAAACCCTTCAGCGCCAAACCTTTCAACGTTGAACATTTCAACGTCAAACCATTCAGCGCGAAATGCTTCAGCGCGAAATGCTTCAGAGCCGGAAGCGTCTACATCAAAGTCATCGAATACTTCAATGTTAAAGTCGACAGCATCAAATATTTCAAATTTGAATGTTACAACAACAGAATCGAAATTATCTTCGAATGTTGGAACACTAAATCATTCAACAGTAAGAGATTCAACGTTGACAGCTTCAACTTCAAGAACAATAATATTAGATGACAATGATCCTTGCATAAAAAGATTAACACGACCGGCAAAAGTATATGGAACTAAGAGGCACAAGAAAAGTAGTGAAAAAGAAGACGCCAAAAAATCTAAAAAATGATAAAAAGGAAAAAAAGTAACTTTTATCATTTAAAAACTATTTTGAAAATTAAAGAAACATTAAACCTTTTTTTTTTTTATATATTAGTTTTTGTTCTCTTTAAAAATGATTTAAGTGCACCGTTGTTGTGAATAAAAATTAGAGAAGAACTAAGTTTCTTTTTTCATATATTATTTTATGTTCTGTTTAAAAGAAAAAATGATATAAGTGCAACGTTATTTTTCATAAAACTAATGTGAGAGAAAATTAGAGATATATTTAAAAAATCTCTTTTTATGTTATATTTTTTTTTTCATTATCTTTTTTTTTTTCTTTTTATTTTAATAACCTGATATTAAAGTATCATTTCCTCTCAAAACGTGAGAGATGGACAGATGTTTCATCTTAAAAGTATTTGAAAACTTTATTTTAACATTATTAAGTTTGTTTTACTTTTATGTACAAGTGCGTGAACATATACGAAAATTATATTATGTAAAGGTTTCAACGTTTTCCTTGCAGAAAAAAAACTTTTTTTTTTGTTTTTTAGATAAGTCTCGTATTTTATAATCTAATAAAGGAACATGACAGTATGTGATATATCTTTGTTTAAACCCTGTCTTTGTATATTATATTTTTTCTTTGAAATTAATTCTTATCTTGATACAATTTAAAGTTCTATAGATAAATTGTTAAAAGAAATTCTATAACACTAACTTATTTCCTACAGAATAATTAAATGTTTTATTAAATGCTTCTCACTTGTATTTATTTTCGTAAAATTATTTGTTATAGAATTTCTTTTAACAATAATTTAACAAAACTTCAATCAAGTATGTTTCTGAATCTTTATTCTTATTATTATAATTTATATTTTCAATAATTTATACTTAAGAATTTATTTTAATAAGTAGCTTTTGACTTAGTTTGTTTATATTTTAAATTTGTAAAAAAAAATGGAAATTCCAAATAAATAATTACATTTTTATGTATTGAATTTAAAGGAATCCAGTTAAATTGAGATTATGTAAATAATAAATTTTCAAGTTCACACCAACACAAATATTAATTACGGAAACGACCGCATGGGTATGCTGCTTTCACTCCACTAGCGATGCATAGTGGGGAGTGCTGTGGTGGGGAGCGCCGTGGTGGAGATCACAACGGTGAGTGAGTGCAGTGCGCCAGCCACCACACTCATTCTTTTTTCAGCTTCCATCGTTTCAGGTGAATGTCTCTTGCAGGTCTTCTCTCGATTCTCTCTTACAGGACTTTTTTTTCTTTATCTTTCTTACAGTTCTTTATTCTCTCTTACAGTTTTTTTTTGCTTTCTCTCTTCCGAGACTTTTTTTTCTCTTACAGATATTTTTTCATTATTCTCTCTCTTACAGTTTTTTTTGCTTTCTGTCTTCCGAGACTTTTTTTTTTCTCTTACAGATATTTTTTCATTATTCTCTCTCTTACAGTTCTTTATTCTCCCGATTCTCTCTTGCAGGACTTTTTTCTCTATCTTTCTCTCTTACAGTTCCTTATTCTCTCTTTCTCTCTTACAAGACTTTTTTCTCTCTCTGCCCCTCTTAAATGCATTTTTTTTCTATCTCTCTTGCAGATATTTTTTTTTCTCTTACAGGTATATTTTTTTTTCTTTATTCTCTCTTGCAGGTCTTCTCTCTTACAGTTCTTTATTCTCCCGATTCTCTCTTACATGACTTTTTTCTCTATCTTTCTCTCTTACAGTTCTTTATTCTCCCGATTCTCTTTTGCAGGACTTTTTTCTCTATCTTTCTCTCTTACAGTTCCTTATTCTCTCTTTCTCTTTTACAAGACTTTTTTCTCTATCTTTCTCTCTTACAGTTCCTTATTCTCTCTTTCTCTCTTACAAGACTTTTTTCTCTATTTTTTTCTCTTACAGTTCCTTATTCTCTCTTTCTCTCTTACAAGACTTTTTTCTCTCTCTGCCCCTCTTAAATGCATTTTTTTCTATCTCTCTTGCAGATCTTTTTTTTTTTTTCTCTTACAGGTATTTTTTTTCTTTATTCTCTCTCACAGGTCTTCTCTCTTACAGTTCTTTATTCTCCCGATTCTCTCTTACATGACTTTTTTCTCTATCTTTCTCTCTTACAGTTCTTTATTCCCCGATTCTCTCTTACAGGACTTTTAACTCTATCTTTCTCTCTTACAGTTCCTTATTCTCTCTTTCTCTCTTACAGGTCTTTTTTCTCTTTCTTTTACAGTTTTTTTCTTTCTCTCTTACAGCCATCTGTCTTATAGGTCTCTCTCTCTCTCTCTCTCCTTTAGCTCAATACTTTTTTCAGTTCTCTCTTTCAGATTTTCAACAATTATTTAATTTTTATTTTCTAGTAATTTCTTTTAATTCAATTTATCATATTTCCCTTTTATTTGATTTTTCTTTCTAGTTATTTCTCGTTTAGTTCAGTTTTAATTTTTTCTTTTTAGGAATTATTTTTATTTTTTTTTCTTTCAGTTTTTATTTTTCTTTTTAGTTATTTATTCTAATTATATTTTTCTCTTTTTCTTTCAGTTTTTATTCTTCTTTTTTAGTTATTTCTTTTATTTCAGTTTGACTTTCTTCTTCTACATTATCTCTCGTTTTTTTCAGATCATTCTTTCATAACGTTTCTTTCTTCCTTTTATTCAAATATTGTATTTGTTTCTCTTTCCCATCTTATTCTGTTTTTTTTTAATTTGTCGTATTATTATTATTATTTTACTTTTTATTTATTTAATAAGTTAAATTTGTTTTATAGTAAACATTTTCTGTTTGTAGAAATAATATTTGATAAAATGGATCACATCAATCCTCTTTTAAATTGTCGAGAGGGTCTGGAACCAGATGATGATGATGACAATGATTTTATTATTATTAATGAATATGTGAATTATTATGAAAATGGTGATGATGATGATGCCAATGATGGTGGTGGTGATGATGATGACGATGATGATACTTCCGCTATCATTATTTATGATGAGTTCGCTCATAATGATTATGAGGAAGACGGCGATGACAATGAAGATGACGATAATGACGGATACGACAGTGCGGGGGAGACAATCATCATAAGCGATGATGATGATGATGATGATGATGATGATGATGATGATGATGATGATGATGACGTTCTGATAATAGATATCGATCCTAAGGAAGTTAGTTAGGAATTTTTATTTTATTTTAACTTTATCAAATATTATTCTAATTTAAATTAACTTTCAAAATATCTTTAATTTTTAGATGTCGGAGATTCTAGAAGATAATTCGTAGCCTTAAAACTATCAAGTTTAATTTTTAAATAAAAAGGTTTTTCATCAATTTACGTATTTATTTTTATTTCCATTAATTTTAACGCGCATAACTTGAGCGTATATTATAGTGGGGGTAATTCTGCGTGCGCATTCAAGAGTGTGGTGGGGTTGAAGAAAAAAGTGGGGTTCAGGTTATATAAGGCGAGTTTCAAAGCTGTTAGATCATTCTTATTTCAGGATCTAGAATTAGCAGTAAGTGTAATAAGTTAACCATTTTATAATTTCTTTTCAGCTTCTTTCTACCTTTCAATTTCAGGTTTATTTCAAAGATTTTAGCTTTATTTCCAGGTTTTTTTTGTTTATACTTCAGGTTTATTTCAAAGTTTTTTTTAACTTTATTTCCAGGTTTTTTTTTTGTTTCCATTTCAGGTTTATTTCTAAGATTTTTATATTACTTACAGGTTTTCTGTTTACATTTCAGGTTTAGTTCTAAGTTTTTTCAGTTTCATTTAGTTTTTTTTTTTTATTATAAGATTTCTTTTCAGCTTTATCTTTTAAGTTTGCATTTCAGGTTTATTTACAGGTTGCTTTGGTTGTTATAAGTTTTTTTAAAGGCTTTTTATTGTTTGCTCTAATTTTTTAGGTTGTTTTAAAATTTTATTTTGCTAAATTTCTTTTTTTTTTTTTTCAGATAAATTTTCTAAGTTCTTTTTTCAGCATTATGTTATGTTTTGAATTATATTTATATTACAGGTTTATTTCAATTACAGTTCTTTGTTTCTCTTCTTTTGTTTAAGGTTTTCTTCTAGTTTCAAACATATTAAAAATGGATCTAGAAAAAGTTAACTCCGTTGGACGTTTTGAAGGTTACCTGCCGACGAAACCGCTCGCGGAATTGATGAAAGATGGACTGTACTACGTCTCAAAAATGAAGAAGGTCCAGACCAAATATGGACCTAGGATCATAGTTGAGATTGATGCTGATTTCGTCACATACAACAAGATTCATCAAGCTCTTTGAGGATGAACCCACCACCTTGGACATGATGAAAGAAGCTGCGATATCGAAGAAACTTCAAATGAAGTATCTTGGAGGACCATTTAATGTTGTTGAATTTAAATTGTTACAATAAATTGTAAAAAGAAAATGTATATATATTTTAAAAAATTTTGATAAAATAAACACACAAAGTTTTACTTATAAATTGGTTTTAAATTTACTTTCCTCCTTCTCTTAGTATAAGTTATTTTTCAGAATTAGAATAAGTTTTATTTTCAGAAATTATAAAAGAATTTAAATTAAATTTTAAAGGATAGGTTGTTTTTGAAATTAAGAAGCATTGTTTTAAATTCATAACATTTATTTTTAATAACTTAATAACTAAATTTTACAAAAAAGATTCACAATTTTCATAAAAAGATTTTAAAGTAGAGTCAGTTTCATCAATTTCATTAGAAATAGCACTTATATATTGGTTTGGAGGATCCAAAAACCAATCGCGTAGAATTTTAACATTTTTTACAGCACAATTTTCACTACAAAAAGTATGATGCGTACACGTCGTTAATAAATCAGACTTAATTTTTTTCAACGATGGACAATTAAAATCTTCCAAGTTTTGTACGTTGAGTAAATATTTTTCTAGCCAATTCTTTTTTTCTAAACCTTTAACGTAAATTACACTTGCACTTCGAAGTATATCTTGTAGAATTGGTCGAAGTTCATCGTATGAGACGTCTCCAGCTGTCCAATG